ATGTTCACCACAAAATGGATTTTAAAAATAAATTTAAAAATTAAGAATCTTATGTAACGTTACTGTTTTGAAACTATAAACTTAATCTGAAAGTGAAAGTCATTAATCCTGGCAGAAAGAGTCTGTCTTAATAATGCACTTCTTTCTACTCACAGGGGAACCCTGCCTATGAGAAATATATAAGACCACTATTACAAGGCCAGAGAGCCAGGCTCTGAGACGAGCTGCAGCACTGGAGAGGCACCACCATACGCTGGTCATACTACGGTACAGGTGTCATTAAAATCTACAACTACACATGTTATGTACTGTTTCAAAGAATCATTATCCTTCAGAGACACAGTCTGAAGCACATGCAATATCTGATTTATTCCAAAATAATCCAGGGGAAGAAAAAGTGGGAGTGAATCATTGTTGAAGCTGTTCAATGGGTACGTGGGTGTTTACACTATTCTACTTCTGAATGTTTAAAATTTCCCACAATTTAAAAAAAAAAAAAGCACTACCCATTTGTAGCATTTCTTTTGGGAAATTGCAGGGTTTTGCTTTAGATCGAGCAAAAGCCAATAGATCTATTAGTTATCACTTGTGTTGTTACAACATACATTTATTTATCCCAGGGCTTAAAAGAAAACACATACACACACACACATGCACACAAACAATCCTCTTCTACAAGTGTATATACTTGGTACAGTCTAAATAAAATGTCAGTCACTTCACACCAATCAGAATGGTTGTCACTAAGAAGATAAGAAATAGGGACTTCCCTCATGGTCCAGTGGCTAAGACTCTGCTTCTAGTGCAAGGGTTCGATCCCTGGTCAGGGAACTAGATCCCACATGCCACAAGTAAGACCCAGCACAGCCAAATAAATAAATATTTTAAAAATAAATTTGAAAGCTACTCTGAAATATGCCTCAGGAGACCCAAAAGTACAAACGGGAATTTATTTCACTGACATTTCTACCAAAAGCAAAATGCTAAGCTGAGTTAAATGTCTTAGAACTGTAAGCATCTCTTCTGTCTGGGGGAGGTTAAGTGTTGAGCTCGAACCCAGACGGCAGGATGCACTCCCGTGGTTTACTCTCTCCACAGGGTCTCCTTTCTGTGTTCCCCCCTGATCTGGACACCACCGCAAGCCGGTTTCTTTGTAGTGAACTGCAAAAGGCTGTTCCCCTTCCCCACTAGAACTCCTCTAAGTGATTCCCTATAGATACAAGCAGTAGAGGCACCACTGGGGATAATTTCTAAACAAGAATCCTATCTCCCCCCAATTATTCTACTGTAGAAATTTGTTAAAATGGTTGCCATATGTTCAACACAGCTACTGATTCATTCACTCATTCAATCATTTAACAAACAGTTACTGAGCACATGATGTACACCAGAAACTATTCTAGGTACTGGGGACACAGTGGAGAACCCCCGTCATCAGGGAGCTTACCGTTTCAGCTCAGACAGGCAGATGAAACAATATTACAAAAGATGAGGGTACAGCAGTGAAATCAAGACGTCACATTAGACAATAAGATAGGGACCCTGGGGTCCAGTGGCTAAGACTACTCCACATTCCCAATGCAGGGAGCACAGGTTCGAGCCCTGGTCGGGGAACTAGGATCCCACATGCTGTGTGATGTGGCCAAAAGATGATAATAAAAAATAAACATTTTTAAAAAGAGAGAATAAGGTGTATTAAGAACACCCAATTCTGACACAGAACACTGCTTATTTCATTCCACCTTCTGGTTTCTTGCTTTGTGGTTAATGTGCTCAATTTCAAAGTCAAGCCTTTTATTTGTATTAAATCCCCAAAGCAAAATGATAAGTTGTGTTTTTTTAATTGGCCACCTGCATCCACAATTTGAAATCTGCATGAGAAAAGGAAGGATGCCCTTTGGAAAAAAATGTTTCCCCATATGTTCACCACAAAATGGATTTTAAAAATAAATTTAAAAATTAAGAATCTTATGTAACGTTACTGTTTTGAAACTATAAACTTAATCTGAAAGTGAAAGTCATTAATCCTGGCAGAAAGAGTCTGTCTTAATAATGCACTTCTTTCTACTCACAGGGGAACCCTGCCTATGAGAAATATATAAGACCACTATTACAAGGCCAGAGAGCCAGGCTCTGAGACGAGCTGCAGCACTGGAGAGGCACCACCATACGCTGGTCATACTACGGTACAGGTGTCATTAAAATCTACAACTACACATGTTATGTACTGTTTCAAAGAATCATTATCCTTCAGAGACACAGTCTGAAGCACATGCAATATCTGATTTATTCCAAAATAATCCAGGGGAAGAAAAAGTGGGAGTGAATCATTGTTGAAGCTGTTCAATGGGTACGTGGGTGTTTACACTATTCTACTTCTGAATGTTTAAAATTTCCCACAATTTAAAAAAAAAAAAAGCACTACCCATTTGTAGCATTTCTTTTGGGAAATCGCAGGGTTTTGCTTTAGATCGAGCAAAAGCCAATAGATCTATTAGTTATCACTTGTGTTGTTACAACATACATTTATTTATCCCAGGGCTTAAAAGAAAACACATACACACACACACATGCACACAAACAATCCTCTTCTACAAGTGTATATACTTGGTACAGTCTAAATAAAATGTCAGTCACTTCACACCAATCAGAATGGTTGTCACTAAGAAGATAAGAAATAGGGACTTCCCTCATGGTCCAGTGGCTAAGACTCTGCTTCTAGTGCAAGGGTTCGATCCCTGGTCAGGGAACTAGATCCCACATGCCACAAGTAAGACCCAGCACAGCCAAATAAATAAATATTTTAAAAATAAATTTAAAAAGTTTTTTTTAAGGTAATAAATAATAAGTACTGGCAAGGATATGGAGAAAGGAAAACACTTGTGCACCACTGGAGGGGAGTGTAAGTTGGTGCAACCACTATGGAAAACAGTATGGAGGTTCCTCAAAAAGTTAAAAATAGAGCTGTGATGTAATCCAGCAATTCCACTTCCGAGTATGTGTCCAAAGAAAACAAAAACACTAACTTGAACAGAAACACATGTACCCCTACATTCACTGCAGCACTATTTACGACAACAAAGATATGGAAACAATCTAAGTGTCCAACAACACATGAACGGATAAAGAAACTGTGGTGTATATAAACAGGGCTATTACTCAGCCATAAAAAAGAATGAGACTGTACCATCTACAAGAGCATGAATGGACCTAGAGAGTACTAGGCCAAGTAAAATAAATCAGACAAAAGAAAGACATGTAATTTCAATTCTATGTGGAATCTAAAAAAAAAAAAAAGACAAATGAGCAAACAAAACAGAAACAGACCTAGATACAGCAGTGGTTGTTGGGGAGATAGGAAATAGGTGAAAGATTAAAAGGTACAAACTTTCAGTTATAAAATAAGTCACAGGATGTAATGTATACCATAGGGAGTATAGTCAGTAACACTGGAAACTCTATGGAGACACATGGTCACCAGCTTTATCATGATGATCAATTCATAATGAATATAGATGTCCAATCACTATGTTGTACACCTGAAATCAACACAATATTGCATGCCAATTATACTTCAATTTAAAAACTGAAAAGAAAAAAAAAAAGCTCCAGGAATACAACGTAAATGTTTAAAAATCAACTCTTCTACAGTAAAAATCATTTAAAGTTTCATAAAAGACATAACTGACCTCAAATTATCCAAATATAACCATGCTATATTTTCCACATCATTTTCAACTGTCCAAGTTAAAAAAAACACTCAAAATTAAATATTACCAAACAAATTGCAAAAAACCTCAGCAGGCTACTTTTCCTAATATACTCATATAAAGAATCATTTAATCGTTAATAACATAAATCTTGGAAAATTAACCAAAAGCAAACTTATCTCCAGTAATCTGGACAAGGAAGAGGCCTCATAAACATTTAACTCTTAAAACCTTGGAACAACTAATAGTCACACTTCCATACCAGTTTTCAGTCCAAATTAATTTTATCTTTCATTCACCTCTGTTAACTCAACAATGCGTTGACTGGCTAGGCTGTTCCTTTTCTTGTTGTTTCTTTTTTAGGTAACCACTAATCAATTTGAAGTGGGAGACAATTTTCTAAAATGATAATCTCATACTTAGTACATTTACTGAAACCACAGTCACCTACCAATAGTTAACGTTAAGGGATTTTGGTTTGAAAACGGTGAAAACAGGTTTCTAGATATTGGTCATTTGTCAAACCTTAAATTTTCAGAGCGACGTGGGCTAACACGGATGGTAAGACAGTGTTCTCATCCTCCTTTGAAAGAAGAAAATTTCAGAATCTACTCAAAGAAGAAAAGGGAGTCTGGGGTGCACAGCCTCAGAACCGTACTCCTCCCTTAGACAACAGGGAAATTTCTGAATTTTCTTTTAAAAGGTGTTCTAGTAAACTAGGAAGTTTCACTATAGTTAACATAATCCTTCCTGTGAGCAACTTCCAAGAGACAGAATCAAATGAACTATGCAAAATAAGACTACAGTGAAATAAATAAAAGTACACCATATCTGTTCTAGATTCTTTGTTCACTCCAGTTTCCTTCTCAGAAATTTAATCTTAGTAATAAATTGCATTCGTGGATCAGCATTAATACATGAGAATGAAACGGCCTGAGTCCGTTTGTCCCTGTGCTCAATACAAAGCTAGAAGAAGGGTCATGCAGCAGTGACAACGGGAGGAAAATCTATAATCTTCAAAATGAGTCCTAGTGGGAAAAAAATTGTCAAGCTGCACATTCGCTGTCCTGCGATGCACTGTTTTAGACAAAACTAGTAATTTCATCTATTCCCTGACTCAACAGCACAGTAGTATTCCATAAACTGCACCCTGAAGTTCCCACTGGGTCCTTCTGAATCAAATACAAACGTGCTATAGGCAGTATTTATTAGGACAGAAAACAATACACATTTTAGACAAGGAATAAGATTTCCCCCCTTAACAATAATCAACCAATACACACCTAATTTTCATATTTCAATTTTTATTGTGGTTTTTTTTTTCTGGTAGACAGTACCACTTGACAATTATACTGCACCAGGCATAAGAAGTTGAGATTTCTACCACAGGGACGTTTTGTATTCAGAATCCAATATAAATATTTCTAGTCAGACATCTCCATGGCTACAGATATTTGGTTGCTTGATTTATATGCATAGAAAGAAACAGTTGTCATAACTGTAAAAAGCAGTACTTAACAAGTACTTTTACATGATTGGAATAGTTTTCCTTTAATATTACAATACTGCTTATTGGTCTGAAAACTAGGTCACCCTACGTGATGTTCTGATTTTTCCCCAAGGCATCATGAGTACTGTTTATTCTTTCACTCCTGCATTTTTAGCCTTCTAGTTGATTTAGGGACTATTTAATCAGAAATCATTTTAGCACTGCAAAAAAAAAAGAAAGAAAGCTTTGTTAAGGGTACATTATAGACCATAATGATTTTCAGACTTCTTTGTATTAAAAAAAAAAAGGAATCTGGAGGCTCGGAACAGGCACATGCACTCTTGGGGTGAAGGGAACAAAACATAGAGGAGTCTGCTAAAGCACAAAACTTCCTTCTGGTCCCCAATGCCTTCAAATAAATACAAATATTAAAAAAAAAAAAATCTCACACTGTGATTTAAAAAAAAAAAAAAGGTCAGCCTCCTGGATCTCCTGGCAGGTGCACTCCCAGGACCTCCCGGGGCTGGAGGTCAGTCATCCGTCTTCCGGGCCAGCCTGCAGAAAGTCCAGTTGTGTTCCACTGTGTTCTCATTGGCCCGCTCGCTCATGTGATGCACTCGTGTGTTGCGGATCGTGAAACCCTGTTTGGTAATGTACTCCATCAGGTGGACTCGGAGAGAGACTTCCTGGTGATAATCACAGGGTCCAAAAGTAAAGGACACCTGGCAATCTCTGGTGTCCATCATGTGCTTATTCCACTTCGTAAAATAGTTTGATATGCCTTCTAGTAAGGAATGGACCTTGGTGGTAATGGTTAACTGCGTTATGATGACAGCTACCGGATTGGAGTACTTAGAAAGCTTCCGGGTACTAGATAACTCCACAACTTCTTCAAAAGTATCCACGGGATACAAAGGCTTGGGGTCATTGAGACACTGAATCAAGGGCTCAATCTGGTAAAAGTCTGCTTCTTTCCGAAGCAGATCAAATTCCTTAAAATCCAGGGGTAAGGTCAGCTCTGAAGTTCTTAAGAAGTTGAGGACATATCGGAAAAGAGGTCCATCTCGATCAATGAAGTAATTGCCTTGAGGGTCTCGAGCTGTGGGGAAGTCCCCCCCAAACATGGCTCCAAGCATGGAATCCGGGTAACGCGTCAACGTGGTGAGAGACGTCGTGTACAAGTGTCCACCTACATTTAACGTGACTGGGTCAGTCATCTGAAATTGTTTAAAACATCATCAGTCATCTGAAAAAAATTTTTTTCTTAAATCCTAACTTTGACAAATTAAGAAAATTAGTGGCAACAAGCAAAGCGAAAGATTCAGGCTACAGCACATCCAGCAAGCCACTGATGCAAAACAGCTGTAGTTTCAGTGAGAAACCCACCCAGATGGAGGGATCTAACATGCTCTTTCAACAGAAAAAGGAGATGTCCACCGCTTCAGAGCCTGCCACTGGGAAAGGAGGGCATGACTTCCGAAACCATTTAATTTCAGGCCCAAGGTCTAGAGGTTTTCAGATTAGAGTACATTATGGGAAGAGGAAGAGAAACTTAAGATATACTCATTTTTTTCCCAATAAAAAAAAAAGACTATGTTTCTTAACTCAATTTAACATAAAATAGAATACAAATGACTGAAAAACATAAAGATAGCTACTTTCAGTATTTCTGTCTTTTCCCCCTCAACAGGAGGGAAATGATGAAATTTTAAAAACAGAAATTTGTGTGCACTTAATCTCAACTTTTCATGGAAGAAATAGTGCCAAACACTAAGTTAAAATATACAGTTTGGTCAAAACAATCTCATATTTTTTGTTGTTCAGTCTCTAAGTCATGTCCAACTCCTTGCAACTCCACTGACCATAGCCTGCCAGGCTCCTGTCCGCTGGATTTTCAAGGCAAGAATACTGGAGTGGGTTCTCACATACCCAAAGGCTAATATCAGCTTTCAAATTTCATAATCTGATAGTATAATCACTTTTGTAACATTAGTGTCACAATCTGACCTCTAATTTCGAAAAGCAAGCTTCTCTAAATACATACCTTTGGCTTTTAAAATCATACTTAAGAAATAAAGCAAGACAGGTAGAGACAGGTAATATGCAAATAAAATATTTCTTACCAAAGGAAAAAAAAATATAGACACATGCACATGCAAAAAAAAAAAAAGTACTAGTGGGCGAAGTGGCATCTTCTCAACCATTAACCTCCCCAACCACAAGAATGTCCTGTCTACTGTCACCTATCACACATTCATTTAACAGTCATTACTCTATGAAGGAAGAGTCTTAAGAGAAATATACTTTAAGACCAAAAAAACAGTGATTATTAAAAGTTACATGGAGAGTCCACGCTGAGCTCGCTTACTTAAAAACACCAAAGTTAAAACACCCAAAAATACCCAGAAACTAACTGGGGGGGAGGGAAGGGTTGTACCGTTCGTAAGTTCCATTCTCATTGAGATGCACTGTATCTAAGAATACATACGAAGCGAGAAGAGACACACAGAGATAATCTGCCAGCCTCCAGAGCGCATCCTCAGAAGCCTCTCACCATATAGCCCCAGTCTCCATTATCCATCTGCTCCAGTGCCGGTCTCGGGGAGCCCAGGTTCCAGGGAAACTTGGGAAAGAGAAAAAGACATGTGACAGTGCGCATCACCACGAACGCAGAAGAAAGGTTTTCTCACCCAACAGCAGGCCAGACACCGGAGAAATCCTCATTTTTGCTCTAAGGCAAAGGTCTAGGGCAGAAACGATTTCCCAAAGGTCTTCTAGGGGTCCCCCAACATCCTTACCACAATGGGTACCTAAGAGACTGGCAAATGTTTACACAGGAAAGAGTTACCCTAAACTTTGAAAGGAAAGGAAAGAGTCTAGGGAGTAAACCAGTTATTCAAATTCTACCTATCTTCTCTGAAAATTCAATTTTTAGAATTCCTGCAGAAGAACATTATGATTAACCCTACAACCTTATCTGGTACAAAACTATGACGATCCTTATCAAAAAGGTTAACAGAGGAGAAGAGTAAACTCTTTTTCATAAGCATTTCAGCTACATAAACGAAACATCTTAGTAAAAGCATTAAAAGCCATAAACCTCCAAGAGACTGGCATCTCTTTCCAAGAGAAATACACCAGAAGCGTAGCTCTGCTGTAACACAGAAAACCTAATTACACTTTTAATAATGATATATTTCATTTGCTACAACAATCAAAACAAAAACAAAACAAGTAAAATGCCAAACCATAGGAGCACAATTTCGGGCAGAAAAGAACCTTACCAACCTATCATGAGAGTCACTAGGCCAGTGCTTAGGAAGGAACGCCTGAAGACACTGACAAACACCCAGATATTAATGATGCCATTTTTATTTTATCTACAATTCAAAAGCACTTAAACAGTTTCCCAGCTACTGAACTGCTTCAGTCAGTCCTTCACACACATCAAACCCCAAACCACCCGGCAATGCAAACTCCAGGGCAAATTTCAAAAGCTTTGGCAAGAGACAGTAAGAAACTTGGACTTAAGAGTATTTAACCAGGAAAAGCACTGTTTGTTTGTTTGTGTGGTCTTGTTTTTTTTAATGGATTCATTTTCCCTACTTTTAGAGGAATCTGGCACACTCATTCCCAGAACAGGCCCTGGCTACAGAAGATCACAAAGGCTCTTTCTCAAAAGGTCACTCAGGCATGTAGAGAACATTTGCATAGCACAGCAGGGGCTGAAATCAGAGCCTCAAGCATCCATTTCTCTACCTTGCAAATTCTTCAAAGCAAACAAGCTAAAATGTAAACCAGACAACTGTGGGGTCAGTTTTTATTCTCCACATTCAGCAGCTGGGTACAAGTAGGGCTCCACATGCTATAGGGTGAGAAATGGAACAAATGTCAAATTCAGGGCTGTTACGACCACCTTTCATTCCTCTGACTGACTTCAACAACAGAATTTTAAGTAACAGAACCAAGAAAGAGGTTTTGACCAACCTGTATTATGTGCACCTGATCCAGTTACTGGTGCGACAGACAGACCAGCAGATGGAACAACTGAGCGATTTAAAAGGCCAGTCACCCGAAAGTTCTGCTAAGATGCCCACCTCTGGCCTTCTCCCATCACCCAGCATTCACTGGAGGTACAGGCGCGGGGGCCCATGTGCCAGCCAGATACACAGAAACAGCAAAGTACGGCCCTTGCCCTGGTGAGGCTTTCAATCTCTGAAGAAGGGCCACATGCAACAGCTAAAGTACAGGATTCAAAGGCCCCATATAAAAGATGGGCTGGCAGAGAGCTGGGGGAGAAAGAGCGAGACCACCACCAAACACGAAAACGGAGGGCTCTGGGAAGGGCTCCTCTCCGTGGGACGCAGCAGGAATGTCTGGACAACCTGAAGAGGGATTCTAGAATAAAGAAACAATTAAGTAAAGGGCTGAGGGCTCCCCCACAACATCCCCGATACAGTAAGCAGAATGTGCGTAATTATCCTCCTTTTGGAGATGCTTCCCTGGTGGTTCAGCTGGTAAAGAATCTGCCTGCAACACAAGGGACCCCGGCTCGATTCCTGGGCTGGGAAGATCCCCTGGATAAGGGATAGGCTACCTACTCCAGTATTCTTGGGGTTCCCTTGTAGCTCAGCTGGTAAAGAATCCACTTGCAATGCGGGAGACCTGGGTTCAATCCCTGGGTTGGGAAGATCCCCTGGAGAAGGGAAAGGCCCATTCCAGGGTTCTGGTCTGGAGAACTCCACGGACCTTATAGTCCATGGGGTCATAGAGTCGGACACAACTAAGCGAATTTCACTTTTCACTTTCGGAGATGTAACACAGAAAAGGCACATTAAGAGACTTGCTCAAGAGCCCGTAGCTAGAAAGTAACTGAACAGGAGCTTGGGTTTCCTGACTCCTAGTCCAAATCTTTCCATAAACGTCCTCCTCCAACAGAAATTGAAAGAGTAATATCCAAGAAACAAGAAATCCAAAGGATTAACTTTAAAACCCCTAACAGCCATCTATTAATCCTATCTACCTAGTAAGGATTTATTTACAAATATAACAGTAACTCAGTCAAAGTGAGCAGTTTTCATGGATTTGTAAAATTCCCTTGAAGCAAAATAGCAAGGACCTACTGTCCAGTCAGTGTGATTTAAGACTGCTATCTTCGATCTTAAACAACTCCACTTTGCGAATATCCAAATAGTTAAATAAGACATGGGAGATGCAAAAAAAGGAGACCAAAGACAACTAAAAAACGAAGAAACAGTTATCATCAAAGTCACGGCTGTTATGCAAGGACTGTCCACTATTAATCCTTTCTTTTTTTACCGCTGAACCAAAACAAGATAGCTTCTTGGGCAATAACACACACACAGTTCGATGATGCTCCTGAATCTTGTTCTACAGCAAAAGGCAAGGTTCTATTCCTGTACAAAGATATAATAAAACTTCAAAGCTTAATAATTCAGGAAAGCAATTATGGAAACCTTCTAAGTCCATGTTTCTTTAAAAAGTACCCAAAAGCCTCCCTTCATTTCTGTATAGGATACATCAAAATAAGATGAAGTTACTATCAGTCACTTTCAATAAAACTACTAAACTGTACCCTCAAAATGAAAATGTTCACTTAAGAGCGCTAGAGCAGGAAAAATAGTAATGATTAATTTACATTTTATCTCTATGCCTTACTTCTAAACATCCTCTGTGGAGATGCTCAGATACAGCACAAACAAAACAAACAAATAAAAGAAGCAAGGACATTCCTGGTCAACCAATAGCTGGATAATCAACCTCTAAACTGATGACTGTTAGGACCATCTCAGAGACAATGCAGATGAATGAAATAAAACACAGTGCAAGAGAATTTCCAGAATAGCTTCAATCTCTTCTACTAAGTCATTTTCCAGAGCTGCTAACAATTAGAAATGATTCATTTGCTTTTCATCTTCTCTCCCTTCTGGTACTCAGCAGCGGAGGAATTAATGAGAAATTGAAGGACCACAAGACATACAGCAGAAGGAAGCTCTTGAAATGGGCATCAAATGTGCCTGTCTTATTAGAGGAACACAGACCTAACATTTCAGAAAAATGGCCAGGAATGGAGATCATGAAGGTACCAATGAAAAACATCTTTCCTTTATAGTGACTTGCTTTACTAAAAATTGTTTTAAACAACAATGAATGCAACCAAACACAAAAATTCAAAGACTTCTGACCCTGTAAAATCAAGTTCACTTGAAAAGATCTGACCTTTGGCTCAAATAAAATACATGTGGTAACAACCAGCAGACCGTTCCCAAAGTAAAGTAGTTCTGAAAATTCACCCAGATGCAGCTTCAAACGTTAATTATGACTAATATATAAATTCTGACAATGTAATGTTAGCAGATAATTATGTTAAGGAAAACACAAACTCAAGAATTTATGAAAGCCTTAAAAAAAACTTAACAATTTTCCACATTCACAAATGTGAAAAACACACAATTCAACAAGTGAATGACCTAAAGAATAACTTAAGGACCCCTGAAACTCACTTTCCTCCCCACAGCAGGACTCAATTACAGGCTTCGTGGTGGATGAACTAATCTAACACACACTTTCTGGGCTTATCATTTCTGCTACAGACTAAGAATTCTCTGGAATAAAACTCCTGCTCCCATCCTACAAAATAACATACACTGCAATACACACCTCTAAACTTGAATAAATAACAAAAACATCACTATTTCCTTCCCTAAGTTTCCAGGTAACCCTTTTAAAATGCCTTTCTACTTTCTACTGAAATCTTTGTGGCTGGCATTCAGAATAGACGACTCAACAAATTCCATCTATACATACCTTCAAAATTACCTTTGTGCTGAATTTCTCTGTTCTTGAAATGTGGGAGTTTTTGAAAGTGAAATACTTTTTATAGTAACTAGTTCAGCAACATCTAAAGGAGTCTTTTGGGTTAACATTCACATACAGGCTGGTTTAAGTAGCCAGGCAGAGAAGGAGAATGTGATGATGGCGTTAGGTTATGCTTGACCATAACCACTACACAAATAGATCGTTTCATCCAAAAACTAATCCTTTTTTCTCTCTGCTCTCTCCATGGGGTCTACAAAAAAGGTGCTCTAAGTGACTTTTCCTACTGAAGAGCTACCACAAATAGTCACAAAACCATACCATTCCTCTTACCTAAATTTCTGTAAGATAAAACAGAGTAATACCACATTCCCAAAAGTAACAGTACCACTTACGCACAACACAAGGGCAACAACTGGCCCACACGGTGACAGATGGGGGCCTGGGCTCTGAGGCCACAGGCGGCCAGAGCAGGAGAGAGAGAGATGGTCACAGGTGAGGATCCTTAAGCCAACTTGGCTTCATTACTAATTATAAGGCCCAGAGTTAATCACTCTGTGTTGCCCAGCTGCTTCTTGGAGAAAAAATAAGTGAGATCATGAATTGAAAATTTATGGGTAACCTCGCAAGTGTGAAAATACTAGTGGCAGTAGCATACATATAATTTCTGTGGTTAATTGAGAAACTTGAGAGTGTGGACACAAGTAATTCAGAGCATGGGCATGGAGACGGGGCAAGTATGGAAGAGGAGGTCACTTAATTTGCTTCCAGTCGCCCTCAGTCCGTCCTCCTTTTCCTGGAGCGCCACAAGAGAGGATCACAGGGAGCATCTGGCTTGCACAAGAGACCACCAGACGCCGGAACTCTTCATCACAGAAGGCACTCCTCTAAAGCATGACTCAGGATTATATCCAACGTAAAGCCAAATCCAAATAAGTATTTGTACTGCATTTTAAATAAACTCCAAATATCACAATCCAAGACACGTTCAGTGATTCACGGATTCACCCTAGCATTTCTTTATGTAGTAATGCTTTAAACTGTGACAAATTAAAATTTAAATGACATGAACCTTAGAAACAGCATCTACAGTGGTCCTCACCACTCAATATTTATGATGTTACGCAAAATGAAGGACTAGTATGGTCTGACCAAAAAGCAAGTTGTCTCAACCTACCTACCATGCAGGTAAAAACAGATTTTCCTGTTCCTAGCTACACATCTGTTTATTTGAAAACATCTCAGTCCTGGGTTCAGTCCTGTGCTGTCTTGGAATCGCTTCTTTCCTATCTTGCAATCGTTCATATGCTCGGGCGTTTGTGACAGCAAAGAAAATGAACATGCCAAGGGGAAACGGTAACACACGCTCAGGCTACCCCAAACGCTCTTAGCCAAACCAAGTTACCTCAGGTCTCTTGGCACTCAAACCTCTTCTGTCACAAAGCCCTCAAATTGGAAGTATCCAACTTGTTCTAGAACTGGTATAGTTGCAGAAACGTGGTAACTTCAGCACAGTATCCAAAAAGGATCTCTGCTTCATCTCTCAAGTCCCACCCCTCAGACACAGCCTCCGCCACTGACAGCCCGGCAGGTGCTTCAGGGGCTCCTCATTACCGTGGCCNGGGCGCGGCGGCGGCGGTGGCGGCGGCGGCGGCAGAAGGGACGACTGAGCCCGCGCCCGGAGTTGCGGCTCCTGCCGCCCGGCGCGGGCGGCGCCTTTCCAGCGGAGACGCGGCGCCACGGGCGCGGGCGCCCTCTAACGGCGGCGCGGGCTAGCGACCGAAGGGCCGAGCGGCCGGAGAAACTCAAACCCGGCGCAGTCTGGGCGGCTCCTTCAGGCTGGCTCCGCGGCGGCCCTGAAGCCCCGCCCCGACGCCCGATCCCGCCCCCGAGGCTCGGGCACAAGACCCACGTGCTCCGCCCAGAATTCGCCCGACGTCCCGCCTCCGCCCGCACTGAGGGATCTGCCCAGCCCCCGGCACTTTTCGCTAGGACTCAAGCCTAGTTTCTCCTGTCATTTTACGAATACTTAAGGGACCCCGACCAAGTGCCAGGCCTGGCGAGTAAAGCGGTCACCAAGAAGGGGGGGCTTCCTAAGGAAAGGAGAAACATAAAGACCCAAATAAACGGCCGACAAAACAACGACCAAAAAAAAAAAAGTTATGATTATAAAATGTTGGGAGGTACATGAATTCGATGGAGAATAAGGGAGGGGTCTGTGCTGCAGCTACGGGACTATACAAGATCTGGACTCCGGGACTGTGGTCCCGGGACTCCTGGCCTTGCCCTCTGTCAGATTGATAAGGTCACCTCTCCAGTCTTGTGGGCGGAGTAGGGAAAGACAGCCAGCTGAGAGAAGGGCAGCAGAGAAAACGACCAGTGCAGAAGCTCTGAGGACTGAAGGAGCCAGCCCTAGAGGAAGCTGGCACCAATACTGTCCTCATTTCACCACGAAGGAAGCCAAGGCTGCAAGAGTGGGGAATTACCTAAAGTCTCAGAGCTAATTGGTTTCCAAACATAGATTCCTTACAAACGGAACTCACTTCCGGCTAACCAAATCCCCATCCCTTTCCAGATGAGATCAGGTATAGGGTTTTTGCCATTTCTCCTTCACCATAATCAAGAGAGCTCCAGAAAAACATCTTTCTGCTTTATTGACTATGCCAAAGCCTTTGACTGTGTGGATCACAATAAACTGTGGAAAATTCTGAAAGAGATGGGAATACCAGGCCACCCGACCTCCCTCTTGAGAAATCTGTATGCAGGTCAGGAAGCAACAGAACTGGACATGGAACAACAGGCTGGTTCCAAATAGAAGGAGTACATCAAGGCTGTATATCGTCAATCCTGCTTATTTAACTTCTATGCAGAGTACATCATGAGAAACGCTGGGCTAGAAGAAGCACAAGCTGGAATCACCATTGCTGGGAGAAATATCTATAACCTCAGATATACAGATGACACCACCCTTTGGCAGAAAGTGAAGAAGAACTAAAGAGCCTCTTGATGAAAGTGAAAGAGGAGAATAAAAAAGTAGGCTTAAAGCTCAACATTCAGAAAACTAAGATCCTGGCATCTGGTCCCATCACTTCATGGCAAATAGACAGGGAAACAGTGAAAACAGTGACAGACTTTATTTTGGGGGGCTCCAAAATCACTGTAGATGGTGACTGCAGCCATGAAATTAAAAGACACTTACTCCTTGGAAGAAACGTTATGACCAACCTAGACAGCATATTAAAAAGCAGAGACATTACTTTGCCAACAAAGGTCCAGGCTATGGTTTTTCCAGTAGTCATGTGTGGATGTGAGAGTTGGACTATGAAGAAAGCTGAGCACCAAAGAATTGATGCTTTTGAACTGTGGTGTTGGAGAAAAGTCTTGAGAGTCCCTTGGACTGCAAGGAGATTCAACCAGTCCATCCTAAAGGAGATCAGTCCTGAGCATTCATTGGGAGGACTGATGTTGAAGCTGAAACTCCAACACTCTGGCCACCTGATGTGAAGAACTGACTCACTGGAAAAGACCCTGATGCTGGGAAAGATTGAAGGTGGGAGGAGAAGGGGATGACAGGGGATGAGATGGTTGGGTGGAATCATTGACCAATGGACATAGTTTGAGTAAGCTCCGGGGAGTTGGTGATGGACAGGGAGGCCTGGTGTGCTGCAGTCCATGGGGTCACAAAGAGTCGGACATGACTGAGCAACTGAACTGAACTGAACTTCACCAGTATAAGCACTTGCCTTGGAAACTCACCTGCGCTTCACCATTTTGAGTGTGTGATTGCCTCTGGTATTTATCTGCACACTCATCACAGTTATATCTGATATTTGGTTTTCTCTGAAAAACTCAGTGGGCTTCCCAGGTGGTTCAGTGGTAAAGAATCTGACTGCCAAGCAGGAGACCCGGGTTCCATCCCTGGGTCAGGAAGACCCCCTGGAGAAAGAAATGGCAACCCACTCCAGTATTCTTGCCTAGAGAATCCCACGGACAGAGGAGCCTGGCTGGCTAAATAGGTTCCATAAATGGCATACGGTTCATTAATATACCTGAGTGCACCATTATATTTAAAAAAGACTAGGTGAGGATACAGGGAAATGTGTGTAAAAATAAGCAGTGCACAAAATGATATACATGATATAATCCTGATTTTATTTTCAAAAATGTAAATATCCATAGACAAACATTTTAAAGAAATATATCAAATCACTGATCATAGTTCTAGGCAGTAGGATGGGAATATTAGTGACATCACTTTCAAATGTTCTTCTGAATTTTCTATCTTTTCTAGAGTCCATGGATGCTGAATTTATAATCAGAAAAAAAAGTTTTATTTTTTAAGAAAGATAATTCTGATATTACCCAACACTCAGACCTCCAGGATTTGGTGCCAATGAAAATCCAAATCTGCCCTTTGCTTACTGGTATCCCTGAAGGAGTCATTTCGACTCTCAGGACTTCTATTTCCTCATCTAAAAACTGAGAGGAATTAATTTGTCAGTGGTTGTGTCAGTACAATTCCTATATATCTAAAAGTTTTTATTGCTATTGTAACTTATATTATCAAATTTATATTTTATAACATATTGATAGTTACTGAAATGTGGTTCATTTTCTACAATAATTTTATATTCAGCAACTCTTTTAGTTCTAATTGAGTTCTAATAAGTTTATATGCTCTCTTGAATTTTCTATGTAAGCAGTTATAGAGTCTGCAAGTAATAACATTTGGAATCTTCTTGTCCAGTCTTTATTTTCTTTTCCTTATTTTACTGCACTAAAACCTCCAGCACAAATTTGAATAATGATGATAGTGGTCATTTCTATCTTGTTCTTGACTGTTTCTAATATGGCACCATTAAGTATGGTGTTTGTTGCAGATTTCTGGTGGATTCCCTTTATTAGAGTAAGGGAGTACTATTCTGCTTTATTATGAATGGGTGTTGTATCTTTCCGACCTAGGGATCAAACCTGGGTCTCCTGTATTGCAGGCAGATTCTTTACCATCTGAGCCACCAGGGAAGCTCTGTTGAATTTTATCAAATGTGAGATTCGCACCCCCCCCCCATGTAGTTAATTACAATCATGGCTTTTACTGTATTAAACCATCCCTGCACTCCTGAAATAAACACACCTTGATGATGTTTTTTCTTCTTCTTCATATAGTACTGCATTTCATTTGTTAATATTTTATTTGGAGTTTTTATATCCACTGCTATGAACGAGATAGGCCTACGATTGTTCCTATCATATTCTCTCTCTGTCTGGTTTCATTACCAAAGTAACATTAGCCTCATAAAATAAATTAAGGAGTGGGTGTCTACTCATTAGGACAGCCTCTGTAAGACTGAGATTTTTCTGTTGTTTGGGTTTTCCATAGGATTCTCCTATAGGCCATCTTGATTTGGGGGCTGGGGGTAGAGAGTTTACCCTTATATCCTGACTCACAGCGTTTAACCTGACCTCAGGGCCCACTTCTCCACCTGCAGAGCTCTTGTCGGGCCACCAGGAATCTCCTTGTGGCCGAATCTGAAAGCTGCCCCTCAGATCTCCCTGAAGTGACATCACTGCCCACACTCTCCTAGGGACAACCTCTTCCCCAGCCCTGTTCTAGCTTCCTCCTTCGTCTCAGACTCGTGAAGATGCACCTCCTCTTGCTTTACCCACGCCTATGCCCCGGTTTCTGGGAGGCTGCACCCTCTTCTCCATCTACCCTCCCTGTGGACTGACTCAGTCACCTCCGTGGATGCCATTACTGTCTCTAAGCCCAAATACTCCCAAATCCACACCTCCAGCCCAGGCCTCTCTCCTGAACTCCAGACCTACAAATACTGCATATGCTGAAGACCCTGCTATGTGCCAAGCACTATGCTAAATGCTTTTATCCTCTGTGTCAGTTATCTACTTCTTGTTGTTCAGTTCCTCAGTCATGTCCGACTCTTTGCAACCCCATGAACTGCAGCATGCTAGGCTTCCCTGTCCTTCACTGTGTCCCAGAGTCCGCTCAAGCTCGTGTCTGTTGATTCAGCGATGCCATCCAACTATCTCATTCTGTCGCCCCCTTCTCCTCTTGCCTTCAATCTTTCCCAGCAAAGGTCCTTTCCAATGAGTCAGTCGGCTCTTTGGATCAGGTGGCCAAAGTATTGGAGCTTCAGCTTTAGCATTAGTCCTTCCAATGAATATTCAGGTTGGTTGCATCATAAATTGTCCCAAAATTTAACTTAGGGGCTTAAAACAACTTTCTTTTGTCTTTTTTTGGTTACACCACTCAGCCTGTGGACTCTTAGCTTCCAGACCAGGGTCTGAATTCAGGCCCAGGCAGTGAAAGCCCCAAGCCCTAACCACTGGACTGCCAGGGAATTCCCAACAAATGTTTTTTTAATCTCACAGTTTCTGAAGGTCAAGAATTTGAAAGCAGATTAGATAGGTAGAAGATCTTCCAGTCTGGATGTCAGGAGGACTGCTGTTGGCTGGGGCACAGACATGTGCTTCAAGCTCACTCATGTAATTTTCATGTGGGATCTAGTTTCCAGAACAGGGTTGGAACCCCAGCTCCCTGCATTGGGAGTGCGAGTCTTAGCCACTGGACCACCAG